TGGCACGTGGTACGCCTGTAATCCCAACACTCTGGGAGGCCGAGGTGGGAGCATCCCTTGAGCTCAGGAGCTTGAGACCAGCCTGAGCAAGAGCCAGACCCCGTCTCTACAAAAAATAAAAATTAGGCAGGAGTGGGGCATGCACCTGTAATCCCAGCTACTCGGAGGCTGAGGCAGGATTTCTTGAGCCCTGGAGTTTGAGGTAGCTGTGAGCTAAGATGACACCAGTTCACTCTATGGAGCCAGACTGTGTCTCAGAGGGACGGAGCCAGACTGTGTCTCAAAAAATAAAATAAAATAAAAACCACAAAATAAGACAGTAATAAGAAGTCCCAATAATCAGTATCATTATCCAAATTAATGGATTAAATCGAACATATTAAAGATAAATAATAGAGAGATATTTTAAATCCAGCTATGTGCAGCTCTAATAGTCACATGTAAACAAAAACATATAGAAAGACTGCAATTAAATAGACAAAATGTACATACTAGGAGAATACTAACCAAAATAAAGCCTGTTACAATGATATCAGAGAAGAAATAACTTTCCTAAGCAAAGCAAAGATAAGGATAGAGACTTGACCTTATAATAAAAGGAGCAATCAGACAATTCTGTACAATAATAACATTGTATCTAGCAACAGCATAACTGCCAAAATATAAAACAGACATTAAACTACTGAAACTGACAAATCCACATTGTGGCAGGAGATTTAATATAACTCCATCATAAAACTAACATATCAAACATAATTTAAAAAATTGAAAAGGATATAGATGATTTGAATGACAAACTAATAACCTCAAGCCTATGTACATAACGCATACCCCCTCCAGCCAATAAATGGACAATGTACATTCTTTGTAATACAGGTGGAACATCAAAAACTGACCATGTGCTAGGTCCCAAAATCAATGAATGCCATCCATATACAGAATGCTTATTTGTTTTTTTTTTTTTACCATAATGCAATTGAATCAGGACTCAAAAGTTAAAATAAATATGTAGGCATAAAAGTTTAGAGTTCTGCCCTAATTAACAATAAGTTAAAAAGGAAGCTCACTAGAATTATAAAAAAATTAAATTTAAGAACATAAAAATACATAAAAACCCATGGGATTCAGCAAAAAATAATATTTAGAAACCAGTGAAACCAATGTATAATCATGAA